TGCTGAGAAAATCCCCATTTTGGACAAGGTGATACCATTAAATGCCGCTGAGCTATAGAAATTTTAAAAAAAAAAATCAAAGTTCCCGTGTATTTTAAATGGAAAATCTTCACACGCCTTGGCCGAGTACTTAAAATTAATATTAAGGGCTCAAACTTTCAGGGAATTTTTTTTTGGGTATTTCCAACAAAATTTCACGATGGGACCGAAAAAAAAAAATAGTCGCAAAAAAAAAGCACCCTATTTTACATATTTACATATGGTCATTTAATCGTTATCAACACTTTTGACTTCAGAGGATCACTGATAAATTAGTTCTTTTATGGTAAATGTGAAGCTACATACTTACATGGCGTGTATTAAATTTGGAGCTTTCCTTGGTTCTTTCATATTTAAGTACATAATGAGATTAACATCTGCAGATCTTATACATACACATGTACATATGTATGTCAATCATTCGTAAAGTTCACTATTGCAGCTGGCGACTTTGTAAAAGCAAACTAAACTAATTACGCCAAATACATATTTGGACTCTTAACTGTTATTCTACTAGTTAATATTATTCTCAATTTGACAATACTGCAACCGCAACTAATTAAGCTTAATGACAATCATATCAAAGTACAAATTATGGTATCAGTATGTATAACGATTTTAATCCCACAGTCAGTACAAACAAGAATTCAATTACATAAGTGCTCAGCTAATCTATTTATTTATGTATAAAAATATATTCTTGTTTTTTTTTACATAAACACATGGTTGTGCACAAAACATTAGGAGTGCGATATTCTGATTAGTTTTTGCTATTTGTCTTTTGTTTATTTAATGTTTATTATTTTTTTTTAAGACTAGCTGGTTGTACAACAAACAACAAATAAATTCAGATTTAAGTTTTTGTACAAAAATTATAAAAATTCTGAAAACAGCATACCAGGACTTTTTGTGAAGATTCTGATTAAAAAGTTTGAAATTTTGGTGAAAATTTGCAGAATTTTTATAATTTTTATACAAAGTTTGAAATATAAATTTATATAGTGTTTGTTGTATGACCAGCTAGACTTTTATAACTACCACTTAGCTGATCCACACCTAAACATACGCAAAATGTACTGATCAGTTTGAAGTTTAGATGATTTAAAGCTTAGTATGTATGTGATAAGCTTTCAGAGGGTAGGGTTTTGAAATGATTGAGGTCAAAAATTTAATGATTGTCAACGATTTACGAAGATTTTGATTAAACTGAGGCTAATAATGCTAACAAGAATGACAACGTGTATTGGTTAAAGGCATAATTACATAAATATGTATGTACATTAGGCTGTTACACCTTTCAAGTAAGCGAAAAATAGTACGCCGTGCACCCCTGAATCTAAGGTATTTTTGCAAGAAAATGTGGAAACAATTTTTTTTTTACATTTTGCGGTGACATTAATCGGCAATAAAATTTTTATTTTAATAGTTCGACTGGAATAAACGAAATATTTTCTTAACAAGATTTGAAGGATTTTTGGTTAGCTTTAAATTACTGACATCAGGGTGATCAGGAGTGGGATATGGTGGATAAGTATTAACACGGTCAATGAACTTTAGGAATAAAAACTGTCCAAGGCAAAAAAATCGATAAATTATACTTTAAGATCCCACTGTAAAAGCCGAAGATATTTATGATGAAAAATGTAAAAAGACCCTACGTAGGGCAAAGAAAAAATCGAAATGGCCTTCGATTAGAAATATTTCTTTAGCGAAACTTTTCTGATATGGCCTAATTTAAAATTTGTGTAGGTATATTTGTGGCTATAAAAGCACGTACTAATCCGTATCTAAGCGACAATTATCGAGTGTGGAATACGGGTATAGTCAGCAGAAATGCCCCCAAATAAATATCCATACATATGTGTATCTTAATAGAAAGCTAATGGAGTGATATGTGTGAAAAGGATGCAAAACGTGCGTGAAATATTTAATACTTATCTTAATCTTAATAAACCTTCCGGCTTGTGCCTTAAGTGATACTTTATTTTTCTTGTCTCTTTCTCTATCCCTGCTGCTTAGGTCAACAAATACATGGAGCTGCCGCCATTCAATTTTCCCAATCCTCTAGGCTATTTTGGTGGCGAAAAGCAGGTGAGTGCGAAAACGTGTTGGGTGTGAACTTTAGTGGTACTTTAAGGCACATTTAGTTTGAACAGGGACGGTAATCATTATGAGTAAGATAATTTAAAATCAGCATTCAATCATTATTTTATGATTTTTTTTTTCGATCACAAATAACGATTATTTTATGATTTTTATTTTTCCTTCAGAAATAAAAATTATTATTGAGTTCTGTTTTTCCACTTAAAAATAATGATTATTTGTAAAATAGAAAAAAACGCCACACAGACGCAATCTACTGAAATTTGTACCTGAAAATTTTGGGACTTAATGCCTTTATTAGGATGTCGCTACCTCTGAAAATAATACGTCGGAAATTCACGCTGGCTTAGCTTTTGAGTATTTTGAATGATAATTTTTCTTAAGTGAAAAAATAAAGGTCAATAATAATTATTTTCTTTGAGCGAAAAAATAAAAATCAGGTAATCATAATTTGCTTTGAGCGAAAAAATTACACTCAAATACTAATTATTATTTTTAATCTTTATTGATTAAACTCGATAAATGAAAATCATTGTAAATTACAGTAGAACGTACCAACACAAATATATGAGAATAGTTAAATTTGTTTTACAACGATTGCAATTTGTTGATTTTTTTGGCTAAAATTAAAAAAAAATGTTGATTATTTTCCGTCCCTGGTTTGTAGTGAGTAATTTTTTCATGTATGTACGTGCTATGCAAATTAAGAAATTCTTAGTTTATTCTGTCATAGCTTTTCTTATGTTAAAATATGTAATTTTCTAACTTTCTTCCGCAGATCAGCGCGGAGGCTGCTTACCTCTACGATGCCGTTCATTTGTATGCAAATGCGCTAATAAAAGTTTTGGAGGCTGGTGACAAACCAAAAAATGGCACTGCTATCATTGCGGCTATAAAAGGATCTAAATACCTGAGCGCCATGGGGTGAGTAGAAAAGGTGTTTTCTTTTTTTTTCTTTTTGGAAAGACAAATACGACTACAATGTTGTTAGTTGTATATGGTAAACATTGAAGTACACTTCAGTTGTATATTGCTTTTTAACTATTGCTTTGGGGAAATGTATGTTAAAATGCCATCAAATTTAAAAGTAATGGCCTCTATGGTGATTAAGCGCTTTATTCGCTTTCTTTTTAAGGCGAAAAAATTTTTTTGATTACACTTAAATAATGAATTCTCGGCATTTAATGGGCTTATTGGTATTTTTTTTCGCTCATAAAAGAAATGCAAGTTTTAGCGGGCATTTTAAAGGGCTTCCATGGTTCTAAATTTTTACACATTCTTTTCATATTAATTACTGTACTTTTTTATTTTTCTCTAAACAAAAAAAACAATATTTTCTACTTGTCTTCCTCCTTTGCAGCTACCATGTTTACATTGATGAGAATGGCGATGCCGCTGGCAATTATACAGTATTAGCGCGTGGCTATGCGCGAAATAGTCGAAATATGACAGTTCCTGGCCTAGTGCCGGTGGGGACATTTAGTCAGACACAAAGTGATAAATTACCTGTGAGTATGAGACAATTAATTTAGTAGCGTTTAGATTGTTAGAAATTTATTTATGTGCCTTGGTGTCTAATATTGGTTGTGGTTTCTTACTATTTTATTTAAAAACATACTTTCTACGATTAGCTTAGGTTAGCTTAATCCTGAGGGTGCTTACTTAGATTCAGCCACATTTGTGAAGCCACTGGGGTCTAAAATTATTTCACTTGGTACTCATTAAAAATATAGATATGTTCCTAATAGCTATCGATCTGCTGTGAGCCTTTGCCAAGATTGTGCTGGGTAGATAAGGTTTCAGAAAGTCAACCTCATTCTATATATAAACCTATGTAGTAGTCATTCTCGTGGTTGCCTTGTTTAATCAGTGTCTCTAACCAACTAGCCTTTAAATAAGTTTAATGGTGAAATTCTGTCTTTCACTGAAGGCTATATAAGATTCTACTATGCTGTTTACCTTAATCGAAGTTTCTTATGTAAATAAGGGTGGTACAAATTGTTTCCCAGCCACCTTCCATAACTGGAGAATACGAAAAATAAGTACACCAGTATTTTTTTATTTAGAAAACTGTAAACATTTAACCGTGCCGCTGGGACTTTGGAGTTTTCCATATATTTTATATGGGAAAAAGACATTTTCTCGTATAATTACGACACAATCGTTGAAAATAAATAATTTTGTATCGAATAAAAATGGTAGTGTTATATGCCAGGATCAACCATTCAAACTCTTAAGTGCTCATTAGCTCGAGATGAGATAAGGACCATGGTTTTAATTTCTTCTGGTATGTAGTAGAATGAAAATTTTTTAGCGAATCTGCTGCTGTAGAGTGCTACCGTGGACTTTCGTGGAAACGCCGCTGACCTAAGAACTGCCCTCGTTCTAGGTCTTATGAAAATTTCTAAGTTGCTAAATAAATTTTTATTTTTTTTTTAACAAATTTTAATTTTCAATAACTCCTTATACTAATAACTACTGCACTGTA